AGGGTTTCCACTTGGGGTTAGTTAATTGTTTGCAGTCTCCATTGGCTCGAGGGTAAACAAACAAGTTTTATGCTTCGTTTGTGTCTGAGACAGCTCAAGACACATTTCTTCTCTGACTTGGGTGCTGTCGGTCCAGGAGCTGTAGAGCCCTGCTTCCTGTACAAAGAATGAGGAGCCACAAAAACGCACAAATCAAAGGCGGTGTAAATGAGTGTTACCTCAGGCAGTTAAGTTTTTTTTTTTTTTTTTATAAAACACATACTGCTGCTACCAGAGTTGAGTCTGCAGTAGCCAAGACAAGCACATACTGTAAAGGCTGGAGTTTAATTAGTGAGTTCCAACCCATGTCCACCAACGTTATGGGGATCATCTTGGAACAAAACTGCAATATTTGTTGTACCTAAAATGACATGCATAGTTTGTATGCCTTTTCAACACCTTAAAGTATTCAGTCAACTTAAAATGAAACCATGTCAAGTCTACCTTTACTTTAATAGTCATTGTTAGACATGTTTGTGGCCATATGTAAAACTTGGGTGGTTTGTCCATCACATCGGTCATGTCAAATCTCATCAACTTATGACATGTTTTTTGACTTTTGAGATGTATTCACATGAAACTTTCTACACATATTTGCATTCAGTGAAGGATTAAGCCCAATGACATTGATGAACTCCTAGCTTTGCCAAAGGTATAAATATGGCCATCCAGCAAAAAATCTCAAAGTGGAGATTATGACATTTTTTTGCGAAAGATATTCATGTTCCAAAGATGATATATATTTGTCTGTATCATAAAAGTACACCACCAAGGCTAATAAGTGCAGAAATTCTTTGATACATGTTATTAATTACTGAAATAGAGTTGTTCCTTACATGGCAGAAGCTGCAGCGTCTCTTTTCCTAACTTGCTTCATCACCTTCAGCATGCGACAGATCTGTCTTAAGGTCATCTTCGGAGCATGACATGCCAGACGGGGTTTTGGGGTGAGGGGAGGGCCATGGTATGTAAAAAGTGACAGATAGTTGGCCCCTCTAGCTCCCTTCCTGAAGAGCGGCAGAGGTCGAGCACTGACATAGCAGGATGCAAACTTGGAGGAGAGGGAGAAAAGTGAGATGTTTTTCATACAGGATGTTGAAATCTGCTGCATAGATAGATTACATGGAATCCTGTAACTAATAAATACAAACATACACATACACATAATAATTAATATATGAACTTCTGTCTTGATCTTAGCCATACAAAACTGCCTGTAAGGAACTTTTTCATGTATCTACTTATTAATATTCTTTGTTATATTGGCCTGATGAAGGTTCCTGTTAAGATCAAGGGAGACCAATAGACTTAATATGAAACCAATTATCCACAACAGGTTTTTTACATTTAGTCTGCATTGTATGAAGATGCAGTGCAACAGATAGCACACTGCATACACTCACACAGGTCACATCAATTCAATAAGCAAGCCACTGTCCTCCTCCCACAGACTAATTTACCCTCTCTATCAGACACCCAAGACACACACAAAGGGTGAATCGGACAAAGAGAATTCAGCTTTATGGATAAATTCACAAGGACACTTGATCATGTGGATTTTCCTCCCGATTGTTTTCTCATTGGATCAAACATGGACATAATAAACCCTTATAGTTAATTAAGGAAACAACACTGCATTTTAAATTACGTGCAAAATCTGGAGAAAAAAAACCTGTATCTGACTAATAGTCTATTTTAACTGAATACATTTTGAAGATGTATTACAAACCAGCACAAGCAGAAACATACAAGAAATACACTTACTGGAACAACAGTGGCCATGAAGAAGTGTTGATCCTCTGTAGTAAAAAAATAACTGTCAGAATGGTTGTTGCCTTTGTATACACGCATATGAAGCCAGGCAAGATAATGGACCTGTAGTTTTTCAGAGAAGAGACATTTCACCCCGCCTACTTAAGACATCACCACAGTGAGGTCACTCCCGTCAACACACATACTGTAATCACACACGCCTGCTGCTTCAGGTTACACAAACACTGGCATGCTGTTTATTATTTAGGTCTCTTTTGTTTTGCTAGGATATATTTAGTGGTCATAACTGTGAAACTCAGGGGTAAAACAGAGGAGCTTGTTAACCTAATTGTAAGTGAAAAAAGGGAAGAAGATAAGAGGACACAAAAGGTCAAAAGAAAAAATAGATGTGGATTAGTTTGACAATAAAATACTTTAAGTACAAAGAGTAAAGCAGGTGTCATGCCTAAAATTGATGCAACTTAGTGTTGGGAAAAGAGATAGTTTTACACACCTACACTGCTGTTTTTGAGTCGTTTTTTTTGTCTTGATCATTTTTTTTATATTGATGGTTTTACTGTATTAATTGTGAAAATAAATAAAAAATGTTGTCCATTTTGCCTTAGTTTGATAGTACATCTGAAGAGAGACAGGAAATTCTGAGAGGAGAGAGTGGTGGATTATATGCAACAAAGGGACAAGGTCTGATTAATACCCATGGCCATTGTAATGAGGACCATGGCCTCTGTAGATGCTGTGCACAGAATAAGCCTTTGTCTATCCAACTTAATCGTAATTTTCCAAGAAGGAAAAATTCTGTCTTTACACCAGTTATCGACTAAGTTGTAGCTTGTATCATTAAAAAATACAGGTAAAACTTTACAATAAGGTACACATATTTTGCATAGTTAGTGGGAAACTAATAAGAAAGTAACCACTAGGTAACCACTAAGTAACCACCAAGTAATGGGTAGATGGTGAGAACTTCCTCATCACATGTTCTAGAGTAGCAAATGATTAGTTAGTATGAAGTATTGATTAACTACCCCGTATGATGCCTCACTTAATTCGCTTAAAGGAAGAATATGCAAATTTTTGATCCAGCAGATGTCGCCCTTGAGCACCAGCATGAAACCAAAGCAACTTTTGTGTTAGCATGCTAATGCTAGCGATCTTTATTATGCTGGTATCTTCACACTGCATGTACAGTTACACAAAATGACCGTGATCTAGAAACGCAGTTAAGCAGTGAGTACAGTATGTTATTCTTCTTTTTTCTTGTCCCTCAATTAAACAACTTTTATATGTAAGGGGATGAGCCTGCCTGCCGTCCCGGCGATGTAAACATACTATAGATACGGTTATAGTAAAGCTTGGAAAACATCACAGACAGCGGGACTCGGGTGTCACACTCATTGGAGTCATGACTCACAGAGTTATTTTCAGAGGATATACTTGATTTCTGCTACTTTTAAGAGTGAAAAATTGCATATTCTTCCTTTAAGTAATCAAAAACTACTCTATAGAATTGGATGAGAAGTTACTGCTGTTCTTTCCCCATTAACTATGCAACAATTTGTGTGGTTTATCCAGCATTCATTATCCATTAAATAATCATTAGCTAATCTAGAACATGTTATGAGGAAGTACTCACTATCTACCCCATTATTCAGTGGTTACTTAGTGGTTACTAATGGGTACATAGTGGTTAGTTTCCCATTAGTTTCCCACTAACTATGCACAATTTGTGTACCTTATTGTAAATTGTTACAAACAACTATTTTTGGGAGGGTGGGCTACCAATATAATGGTAGGGGAAACACTGCCGTAGCTAAATAGCTATATGTATGCTAGTTATCGGTTTGTAAGGTTGTAAACTTTTTGGAGACAACGTAAGATGGATATATTTATCTATTTGTTTGCAAACTGGAGACATAACTTGAGTTATTTATATTTATTGCATCCCATTAATCCAGCCATCCAGATTTACCTAATAATTCACTTTCTTGTCTACATTTATAAATTTTGCAATTACTGTACATAGCACAGAATTACTGTACATAGCACAGACTCTTGCACTCAATTACTGTACATAGCACAGACTCTTGCACTTTCTGCTTATTTGCACTTCTGGTGAGATGCCAAACCTCATTTCGTTACTCTATACTTGTATATGTGTAATGACAATAAAGTTGAATCTCATCTCATCTCATCTCATCTCATCTCATCTCATCTCATCTCATGTATGTGTAATAAGTGTATGAGGCTTTTGTTTTTCAACATCGGTTCTCCTTTTATTCCAGGATTCAACTTCAACTCGCCATCAGTGATGAGCAGGAGCCCTGAGTGCAGCAGCATCACAGGCCTGCAGCATATAGACAGTGTGTGTTATGATAGCATGGCTGCTTGGGAGAGGGAAACAGAGTTATGAATCAAAGCTGCTGCGTCTGGAAAATCAGAGATGCTTTCCCAAGTACAGTATCTTGGCTACAGAGTGTGTTGCCTTGTGTAAAAATGTGTCTTACAGACTTGTACATACATACCTGTTGTAGCTTTGTTCTGTATTTTTGTGCCATTTCAAGTTGAGTTTGTATGTTGAGTTCCTTGAAGTCTTTTGTTTTGACCAGTTTACATAATAAAACAGATATCCTTTTCTTCTACTCTATTGTTGTGATTGCATTTAGTACATTTAATTGACCTGTACTGGTAATGGTTATAACAATTACTAATTGTGTGCATTGCTCACTGATTTTTAGTTCTATCTTCTTTATATTTGCCAAATAGCAAAAACATTATCAAGGTTTCAAGATTTAAGCGATCACCATTGGGCAGAACAACAACAACAAAGGTAAAGATAATATAATAAGAAGGAAAAGCTAAAGTGATCAAGATAAAATTGTTATTTATTAGACATTAAACATTGATTTTCTATACAAATACAATCTAAAGCACATTTGGGCATTTATTTACACATTCAGCTGCTTTGGGGGGGGGTCTACTCTATCCTGGAGCTCTGATGATGCACAATTGTAAATACAGCCAGGCAGAAAGTTTAGGAGCAGCTTCCCCCCCATCATGCAGCCATTGTCGATTTGAAAAAAAGTGGAAATGTGTTTGTATGGAAATAATTACAAATACAAACATTTGCATGACTGGAAGCTGATCTGCGAAATATATATTTGTGTGTTTGAGATGTAAGTCAAATTTACCTGGATTACAAGACATCAGCCTCCTCCTCTACCTCATTCAGTAGCTGAACACCTTGGACAGCAAACACATCATTCCCGAATCAAAAGACAAGTAGAATATTACATCTTACCATTCAATGACAGTATTTTTTTAGATAACGTTATTCCATGAAAACATACCTGTCGCGGTCTGACTGTAAGACTCTGGCAGGGTTGTAGGCTGCATTTGTTGCTGGAGATGATACTGATCGCCTTTTTAGAAAGATGGAATAAAGTTTGAAGTCATTATTCTGGTTGATACAACTGTGCAGAGTATGTACAGTAACGTTAGTTTCAACACATAAGAAACTTTGCACATGCGCGGCTCAGATAATTAGCAGCCGGAGCTATCGTAACCTGAACCCGGGACAATATGCTGTCTATATTATCATGCTACGGGCTAAACTTCTGCAGACATGAGCTGACTTGGCTTTCAAACAGCACTTCTATTTTGTAAGAGAGCAGTAGGGTTTTAAATTTGATGTAGCAGTAACTGAGAGCCAGATGAACAGCAGGGGGGACATGTGCTGTTTTGGGTAGGATGAAGGCCAGTCGCATTGCTGCATTTTGGATCATCTGCACTTGTTTGATAGTTGCAATAGTAAATGCGTGATATCACAAGAGCCTGTACCAGGAGCCGTGTAGTAAGCTCTGACAGGCAAGGTCTGATCTTCCTGATGTTCTACAGTTGAACCTTAAATGTAAGCTGGTCATCAATCATGACACCCAGGTTCCAGAAAGACTTTGTTGGCATGAGTTTGGTTGTACCAAGCTGGGTATTGATCTGGGTTGGATAGAGTGACTGGCTAGGATGACAAGTAACTCAGTCTTTGAGAGATTGAGTTAAAGGTGGCATTCATTCATCCATTTAGATATCAGTAAGGCATGACCAACTTCGATTGTGAGCTTCAGATACTTCCCCCTTCCAAGACATATTCAAAGATCCAAGACAGTCTGGCTGCAGACCTCCACTGTCAGCTCCTACCTCTGCAGACCTCCACTGTCAGGACCAGAAAAACATGCAAACATATAAGTAAAATTGGGTTGCATTTGCGGTTGAGCGTTTCATTAATTTATAAACACTTACGAAAATGCACACAAAATATTCAATATAAATTTGGGAGGTAATTCTGTTTTAAGTGTTTTAGGCATTTATATATATAAATATAAATAAATTCAACTGATACTCCACATTTTATTTTATTTAAAATCGCTATTGATTTACTCAGTAAAGATGAGATATGAACAGGAGAGTGAATTAAATGCAATGTTCAAACTCAGCTCTGCATGACTCTCAAAGTGAATTTTAAGTATTGACTATAGCAAAATGACACATTGCTTGTTTGAATACCCAATAGAAACAACATCCCTTTTGGTTAAGAAGCATAAAAGCATAAAAATCCTACCACTTCCTGTTGTCTCCACTTCTTTTTCATGTGAGCTGTCACCTTGCAGAGACTCTAGTAGGTGTACAGCGTAGGTACCAGATGTGCTCAGATGGTCAGATCTGCTCGTTGTCCTTCGCCTGCATTTTTATGATGATGTAGTACATTGTGATTGGCTGTACATAGGAGAGATAGATCAATGTCTCCTTATGAAAGAGGAAGAACTCAAACCCACAGGGTCCGAACGTGCCTTAAATGTTACACGAGAGTCCCTGTCTGAACATATTTACATGCCAATGTTCCAACGACGCCACCTACTGGTAACAGACAGTAAGCCTCGACATGTTTCACTCATTTAACATCAAATGTATCCCATGTGCTTGAACTGCTTGTTGTGTCCAAAACCCATGACAGTTTACACCAGTTTTGGTGTGATGTTTGTTTCAGAATAAAAGTTTTGGGGTTGTACCATAGAGCTTGTCTGCCATTTGATAGCCTTTTGTTTAAGGGGGGCAATTGAATTAAGCGTAACTCTCAGCAAATCTATAGCACTCTGTAACAGTTTTTAACTGGGTTAAAACATGGTTTTGAATTAAAAGTAGCTGGAATAGCTTCCTCAAAGCCAAGTTTTTAGTGCGGAAGTCTAGGAAGAAATCCAATGTAATAAGAAAATTATCTGATAGAAGAGGATTTTTTTTGGCAAGACTGTGAAGTTATTGGGGCACGCTGGTGGCGCAGTGGCAGGGCACGCGTCCCATGTGTTGTGACTCTCGTCTCAAGCGGTAGGCCCAGGTTTGCCTCCACCTGTAACACCACCACCTTGACCAGTGTTTTGAGGTATATTAGTATTGGAATGACTGGGAGGATTGGATTAATTTAAACTGAACTATTCATCTTGACACAGCCAGGTTTCAGTTAAACAAAGTAAATCAATATGATTATCTGATATCATATAATTTACTAATAATATTTAAACTCCAATGATCTAATATGCAACGGACCACTTTTAATTTTGAGACTTTTTTTTTGCAAAGTCATGTTTGTATAAAACAATACCTTTTTTATTTATGTTTTGATTAATTGTAACAAAGGGTGTGGGCCGGGGGACAGACACAATGTCTATAGTATAATTATAATAACTGTCATATTTAAAGTTATAGTGGCTGGGAAACTGCTCTATTGGAAAAGCAGAGCGTGACTTTCAGCTGTGAACTTCCTTTATATTGACATGCACCTTAACTGCCTCTGTTTTATCTGGTCTCATGCACTACATCACTTTATTCTATCCATTTTATATCAGTATTCATACAGTTCTGGTTAATTTATTCCAGTTGTTTCTTATCCATCATTACACTACGGTCACTTTATTTATCTAATTCTTACCTTTACAGCTACAGTCACTTTATTTGTCTAATTTTTACCTTACAGTTATTGTATATATTAGTTCTGTTGTTCCATTATTCACCATGCACCTTAATAACTTATCATTTAGTATTTAGCCTACTTGCACATAGCTCTGTATATATATATATATATATATATATTTATTTCTCGTTTACTGCATATAGTTCTGTTTACATCTGGTCACTACTGCACATAGTTCTGGTTACATCTGTTTACATCTGTCAGTCCGATCACTGTCCATTTATATCTACTCTTTTTATATTTTGTATTTTTAAGTTAAGTTTAAGCTTTAAGTTGTATTTAAATTGACACTTTATATTTAGGTTAAAATGTTTTGTTTACTTGCACTGTTGTTAATTTACTGCTCTGTGTGCCTTTGAATTGCCCCCGGGGACAAATAAAGTTTTTTGAATTGAATTGAATTGAATTGAGACACCACCAAGTCAGCCAGTGGTCAAAAGATGACATGAGGCTATCCATGTCATCACTGGGCAGATTAGGGAGGGGTCAAGAGAACACTACGGAGTCCAACATCGTCTTAGCAAATGTACAAGACGACTCAACATTAACCTTAGTGACTTCTGACTTGTGTAGCCTTATCAGGAGTCATTAGTGCCAGCATTAATTACAATTTTATCAAACCTAAATTTAGTCTTTGCCAGCAACTTTAAATTAGAGTAGATGTCGCCAATTCTGGCGCTGGGGATACACTTCACTATGCCTGCTAACCTTGCTTGCTTCACATCTCTGACTATGGAGTCTCCAATGATCAGAGTTTTAGTCTCAGTGTGAATCGTTGTTAGTTTAAGATTTACACCATACTACATGCCACTCACTCCACACACTCACCCAACAGCTGGCATACTGACTAACTGACAAACACATCTCACTCCACTTTGTAAATAGTAACTGAATCATTTTCAGCATAGACTACTTTGTCATAAACTTTTGCACCTTCAAGTTAAACCGTATGTTTCCCTTGTTTTTGTCAGACCTTAAGAGCAAGGTCATGACAATATGAGCAGTTCACTTACTGCGTCGTATCTACAAGAAACATCTTTAGAAACATAATTTCTGCCTCACTAGTTAGCCTTTGGGTAGGCTACTGACCATGGTTGATGTCAACTAAATTAATCCAGGAAGTGAATTTTATTCAGTATTAGAGGTGGGGAAAAAATCGTTTTATGTAAAAATCGAGATTCTTATCTTCTGTAATTTTAAATCGATTCATGTCTTCCAAAAATCGAATCGTATTTAACTCAGTAGAATGCCAAATGGAGCAGCAAGAAAGTTAGCCAGTCTGACGATGACTGGAGTAGATCCTAAAGTATGGACTAATTCACAATTCAATGTTACAATTCACTTAGCAGACGCTTTTATCCAAAGCGACGTACATCAGAGAGTAAGTACAACACTAATCCATTAATACACCGCCACCGAAGCAGCGGGAGCAATGTGGGGTGAAGTGTCTTGCCCAAGGATACATCGGACATGTTGCTCAGCTGGGGATTGAACCCTCGTCTGGTTGAGAGGCGACGACTCTACCAACTGAACCACAGCCGCCCACAGAATTTGAATTCATGAATCCAGAATCAATTTGAATCGAAAATAGATTATGAATCGAATCGTGACCCCAAGAATCAAAATCAAATCTTATCGTGAGACAACCAAAGATTCTCAGCCCTATTCAGTATGCACAGAAACAAAGGTTTTTCAATCTAATCATTGTTGAAATGGTAAAAAAATGCTCAGTTTTACTAATAGTCTAACCTCAGCTTCAACTTACATTCTCAAACCCACGGCAATGCGAGAACGTGTTGAAGGCTGTCAGCTTCTTTGTTCTAAGATCTAAGACCAATGAGAGTTGCCTAAAAAGGTCAAGTGGATGAATGACGATTAAGTAAAATAAGCACCTCTTTTGCCCTCCAGTGGTGTGCATTCATCTTTCCCCTAGCATCACACTGTTCTATAGTCCTATTACAAGTTGCCCTATGCAAAAACAAATGTAAACTAATTGTGATTAAATTCTTTGATATTTTGAAATTGTTAATTGAAGAAACAGATAGTTAGAAAAGAAATATAGCCTACAAATAAAGCTGTCTGAAGAGGTGCCTTCATGGGAGTTAGGTTACTTTCAAACATTAATTTGTTGACGTCATTGTTTACAAAGTGTTGGCTTGCTTGCTTTTCCTACGATCCTGGGGGCATGAACGCTATACGGGCGAGCACGAGTCAGGGAATGTGCCATTGCACGTTTAAAAGTGGACGGACCAGAAACAAAAACTAAAATTGATCATTTGCTCAACGTTTAAGTTTACCAGTGAAGTGTGTGAACTACACTCCTAAAGTTAAAAGACTGACGTCGTCCAAAATGCTTCAATGTGCACTGTATGCATTTGTTTGTGCGTCAAGAGTGCAGGAATGTGGCTCTGCACGTCACCCTCACTGCTCTGTTAATAAAATAGGTCTACTATAAAAACTGGTCATAACTTCTGAACTTTCAATGTGAGGTTTGATGTCTTTTTAAATGTTCTTAAATCAGTAAGACATGCTTTGAAAAGTGATTTTAAAACTATTATACTGAACATTACAATTAATTAATAAAATATTTTTTCCGCAGCACTTGGTATGACGCCATCAAATAGAAAAACTTCTCTCATCACCCCTAACTGAAACTGACTTCCGTTATATCTCTGCTTAAAATCTTAAAATGGGCGTCTGAAATAATGAAGCTTAGGCAATTTGCTGCCGTTCTTGAAGAATGGCAAGCTGTCAAACGCTTGTCTCATTTAGTCATCCCATTCGTTGCAAGCGCTCGGCTGCCATCTAGTGTCCCAAGTGGTACACATAACACCAAAACTTTGGAGGTTGTCTGCGGCTTTTAATCTGAAATTGTATTGTACAAATGTTAAAACAATTAACCTAAAAGTGAGAAGATATAAACACGGAGGAATAAACACACTGTGGGGCATCGGTTCTGACTGAACTGGATCTCACGCTGTAGCAGGAGGGAGAAACACCTTATTGGCACACTTCACCTGCCCCCAATGCGCACTTCAAGGCTATCGGTACCAGCGCAAATCATTGGCTGATGTCACTGTCACTTGTAGATCCATTAACAGAGAATAGTGGTGGTTACCTTTATATCAATCAATCTCTTAATTGTATGGCGCAAAATTCATAACAAATGTTATCTCGAGCTCCCAGGAAAATGTGTGGTTAGTATAGGCTAACTAAGTAATATGATGTAAATGCACAGAGAGAGAGAGAGAGAGAGAGAGAGAGAGAGAGAGAGAGAGAGAGGGAGAGATAAGAGAGAGAGGGAGAGATAAGAGCTCAAGGTGCATAACTAAGAGCTGGTCAATACCAGCACCAGCCCTAACTATAAGATTCATTAAAAAATGAAAGTTTTAAGTCTATTCTTAAAAGTACAGAGTGTGTCTGCCTCCCGTACCCTGACTGGGAGCTGATTCCAAAGGAGAGGGGCCTGATAACTGAAGGCTCGACCTCCCATAGTAGATTTAGAGACTGTATTCTGGGAGTGTAATGTTCTCAAGGGTAACTTTTAGATAAGATGGTGCCTGACCATTTAGAGCTTTTCTAGTTCTAGTCCTAATACGTGAGCTGCAGTGTTTTGGACTAGTGGTCATTTTGCGACAGGCTGATGCCATTTAGGATAGTTATATCATTAAAAAGCCTCTCTGAGGTTTTTAAGTCCAAGAACAATGACTTCAGACTTGTCTGAGTTAAGCAGCAAAACATTTCCAGTCATCCAAGTCCTAAAGTCCTTACATGTCTTGTTTACATAGGCCTAATTGATTGGTGTCATCAGGCTTCATTAAGTAGCCTACAATTAAGAGCACCCATATTTCCCTTTATGTCAACACAGCACTAAGCTATATTTAGCAAAGTTACACTGACAAGAAAAACCTCCTTTTAAGAGGCAGAAATCTTGGGCAAAATCAGTTCAATCAGGAGAGACTAAATTGAGAATGAACAATTATTTATTTAACAATAAATGTGCAACAATTTAGATTTGAATGTGCAAAGTCTTTGGGGGATTAGACTCCATCGTGACGACTTCATGTACTCGGAAGGGTAACGAGGCCGACAGCAGGATGGGATACCCCCCTATGGAGTCTAGACCCTGGTGTTGGTGAAGAGGATGGAGGCTATGATGAGCCTGGATCTGGACTCTGCTGAGCTGGAATGGAGGTGACTCGGGCGGTGGTGGGTTGCCTTGAAATGACAGGATGACTGTGGACGAGAGAGAACTGTTTTAGCTTTTTGCAGCAGCAGGGTGATTGGTTGAGAGAGGTTGTGCCTGAATCTGGTTGATTAATTACTTAAAGAATAAACGCCCATTATGAGCTCATCACAAGAGCAGGTAGACAGATGAAGTAGTTTAGGTTGAAGTGAAAGGATGAATGAATTTGTGAAAGAATATAACCAGTCTTCCTGTCTGAACTTACTCTGAGCTCCATGCTCATGATGAACAGCCATCTGCCGAAACTGCACGGGGCTTGAACATAGAGAGAGAGAGAGAGAGAGAGAGAGAGAGAGAGAGAGAGAGAGACTGGGATGTGGAGGGTGGGGCTGTAGCAGGTGTCAACAGCTTTTAGAAAATGTAGTCGGCGCAGATCGAGCTAAAACAGAAGCATTTAGAAAGATTTGTTTTGTGTACGTCCACTGTTTAAGCTATAGGCTACATTTGAACGAATCAGTTTCAATTGTTATTGATTGGAATCTGTCGTTATAGTCTACATTTTATTTAGGGAAAATTTAGCCTGACACAAACCCGAAATAAAGGAAGTGGTAGTTAGCTGAAGTTGCAATGCTCAAATAGTCCAAGATGCATTTGTTTAGCCTTTACGCGTTGGAAAACTAGTATCAGGGTTACGATTAAAGCAATGATTTGATAAAACTGATACCCAGATTTCTTTCGCTTTATAATTCACAGCCTACGTTAAATGTAGAGGAGGGGCCTTTACGCGTTGGAAAACTAGTATCAGGGTTACGATTAAAGCAATGATTTGATAAAACTGATACCCAGATTTCTTTCGCTTTATAATTCACAGCCTACGTTAAATGTAGAGGAGGGGCAAGGCTTTAGGCTATCTTATTATTCAGGAAGTGATGTCGGAATTCACAGTGTTTGACGGCCAAAGTGATCGTTTGTTGAAAAAAAAACACTTAAAGAATGTTTTTTTTGTAGGCCATAGGCTATGTTGGGTTATTAAATATATGCAAACAACACAACCCATCAAGACACTTTACTAAGACATGTAAGGTTTCTGACACCTGTAGCCTTTATCGTTGCTGCTGTCAATAGATCTGAACTCCAATCTTTCCTTTGTATTTGAAGCCCTCACAGACCCCGCCTCTCGCCTCTGTCCTCCCAAGGATAAGCGACTAAAGTTTTACAGCTTTTGGGTGGCAACGTCGAAATTGAATTCTTTACCAGTCAGTGAGTGTTAGAACTGTCTCTGCCCTGCGTCCTCTCTGTACAGTTTTCTATTCAGGTGTAGGCCTACGCTCTGCATCTCCATTACCAGGAATGTCTCCGTCGACGTCCCCCAGGTTCTTCACTGAGAGGGAGGTGGCCCGACACTGCACTAAGGACTCCTGCTGGGTTCTCCAGGGGACCAGGGTGTACGACGTGACCGCTTTCTTGCGTATGCACCCGGGTGGTGAGGCGCTTATACTCAGCCGATCAGGCAAGGACGTGAGCCAGGAGATAGAAGGACCCCCACACCGCCACTCCGACAATGCCCGACGGTGGATGGAACAGTACTACATTGGGGAGCTAGACAGAGACAACTACTCCGAAGAGGCAAAGGTAAAGCTTTACTTGCTCACGTTTTTCAAGCTGAACAGGCATGACATTGCTTTCTCAGAGCATGAAAACAATTTAACACAAAGACATGGACTAAGAAAAACCTGTTTGTATGTCTCAACTGGATGTTCAAGGTGCGCATATTTCTTCGCATGCGTAAGAAACTGTCAGATGTTTTCGTAGTCTATTTAAATATAGTATAACACTGAGTAAGGCACTGTCTTGTTGTTACGTTTTTGGAATATTTCTCCAACTACAATAAAATAAACGTATTCTCCAGAGGTGCAGATAGGCTAAATGATTAAGACTGTAACCCAAATTACGCATCAGGGGTGTGCCACTATTTTGGGAAATTTCTATCCCGTGTGACAGAGGGGCTGGAGAAGTTGGAGGTGCTTGGAGAAGTCATTCAATTGGATGACGTAATACTATGTGCTTCGCAAAATCCAATTTTATAATCGTCAGTGTTATAAATAACCTACTGATAGTTTTAACAGCATCTCATACGAATTTAAAAGAAAACATTCAAAGCTCACACTGAAAGCTCAGACGTGGCTTAGACCAGTTTGAATAGGCCTACATTTAATAAACAGAGCAGCGAGGTTGACGTGCGGACGCACAGACAGATGCGCACTCGGTGCACATTGGAGTAGTTTGGAAGGCATCAGTCTGCAGTGTGGTTCACACACTTCAGTGGTGAACCTGTTAACTATTGAGCAGATGATCTATTCTAGATCTTTCTAGTTTCTTGTCCGTCCACTTAACTGCGCGATCAATGGCATGTTCCCTGACTCTCGCTCGCCTGTTCACAGCTCTCTCCCTCTCAAGTGCGTTTTCTTTAAATGCATGTTTTGACACAATAAGGGGCATAAGCTTGGAAAAACGGGCTTTGAATCGTGAGAATATTGCGATCTAATGTTTATTAAATAAACCTTAATTGCAGTTGTTGACAGGATGATCAGAGGTCTTGGATTTATCTGATGTGTGCGCATCGATCGAAAAGCTCCAAACTCCTGCGAGTTGTATGACTCGACAGGAGGAAGAGGCCTATTATGAACAAGATACAACAGAGTGCTATAGTAAACGGACAAAAACGTAATCACACAAACCGGTGTAGGCTATACTTCCTCCTCGTATCCAATAAAATTGGGTTAATAGTTTACAATTTCTTATAAGTGATGGTTTTAATTGTCCCTGAATTCATACTTCCTGATTTCACCCCTATAGAGCCTGGATGTTATTGGGGAAGAAGTGGCAGGTCCTACCATATGTTCAAATCTTAACATCTCCACTACCATTTTAACAAAATACTCAAACCACTGGAATGATGTGCTAACCTGAGCCAAAATATTCCACACACTGAGCAAACATCCCAGACATGAATGACACAACCGAAGTGACTCTGCCAACATTGGTGCTTTCGAGGCAGTGAAATGCCATTTAGGGCCTTTTGGATCTGTGAATATCTGTTTCTTGACTTCACAGCATTTCGTAGGACCTGAGATAGAGAAGGAACACCCCCTACCCCAGCCAAACAGTGGTAATTATAAGGGTGGGACTGAGGAGTTAACAAATACAGAGAGGTCTGCCAGGATAAGAGAATGGAAGCTATGGGGTTGACGTTGTAGGTTGGGTTGGTGCTTTTGTGATGTTAATAAATGATTTAAGGTTTGTGTGTATTTGTTCATTTGTGTGCATGTGCGAAAAGACAGAGAAAGAAACTGGTTTGTCATGCCACAGTAATGGAGGGGATCACAAAAATACAACTTGGATGGAAACATTAATTTCCTTTCTATTGGGTCAATTCACACTCATTTACCTTTGTGTGTTTCTCTGAGGAGAAGAGAGAGTTTTCATAAATCTCTTACCAACAGAGTGGACATTTACATGGATTGCACTGTCATGTGTCTGCGAGTGTATTGTTGTCTGGCGGTGCATCTGTGTACGCAAAGTTAACACAACTGCAGTAACAAAGGCCATTTTCTCTTCTTCTTTATCCCTTCTGGATGGTCATGTGCACATCACTCATAAGTCATAACTACAACACAACACTTCTGAACTTCTTTATTGCTCTGTTAGCCATTAGATTGGGAAATGGTTTACAAACATAAACTTGTGTTTTTATTGGCTAGATGGGAGAGTTGTGTTGCAGTCATTCTGTTTAATTTGCAAAGCTGTTTGACGATTTTTATTTGCTATAGTTGAGTGGTTTAGTTTTTTTTTGTCAGCAGCTAGCATTACACCCTCTCTAGCTGAAGTCCAAGGTTAATCATATTTCTAATTTTATTTGAAATGCATCTTGTTGGAGGTGATTCAACACTGAGGTCAGTCCAACATCCAGCTTCACAGAACCAGACTCCAGTTGTTTGGAGATTGTCTTGAGGTAAAATATATTAACAATCTGACATCAAGATCCTTTAAACCTGCTGAAAAAAAAACTTGTTTCAAAGCAAAGTTTACATTTTGTATATAATATACCCATTATTGTTTCAGTTCATCGATTAGCCTACAATTAACCATCATGTGTACAAAATTAGTAGAAGATAATCTATTTATGTAAATTTATTTAAAATAATCTCCTGAAAAACTCAGGAGATTAGGCTACCTGAAGGGGCTTTAAGCTGTATGTGAACGCAAACATCTGAATTTTTCGTGCAGACTTCACCCGGAGTTTCTAGTCTCTAGTTTCTAGCCAGACCCCTAGTATTTTCTCTGCAGAAAGTCCGAGTGAGCTGATGTGAGAACGCCGCTTTGTAGTTTTTACAAAGCAGAGCTAAGTTACAATTGTGATATCCGCCTAAGTGTAAGTGCTTGTCTTTTCCTTCCTCTCATGCCCTGACCCTGTTATGTTTTTCATCAAGGTAAATGGTATAGGAAAGGACTTTTTCAAATAGACCTTTTGTGTAAAATCGCTTTGAGTAGTCAGAAGACTAGAAAAGTGCTATACAAGCTCAGGTCCATTTACCATTATTATGTTTTCACAGTAAAATTACTTTGGGACTCAAATGTTATGGAAATAAAAGAAATTAAAGGTTTTGGCAAGAAACCTAAAGAAGCACGGTTGTTTGGAGGATACATTTGTTTGTTTTCCCAGCAATATAAAACAGATTTTATTTTCAGTCAGTTTTGTTGAAAACGTACTCATGTCTCATCTTTCCACCAAATAAGTATTGATACTGGCATTAATAAAGTCTTGGATTTTTAAGATGTCTGGATAATGGTGTCAATATGGATAAAAGTTAATGATCCCATCCCTTTTATTCTATTCTATTTCAATCCAGGGTGGTGTTTGGGGTGGGAGGGACTGAAAATAGTGAAAGCATACAGTCTGTGCCCATGACTAATTCATTAGCTGAGGTTTTGCCCAAGGATACTTAAATATATGGACTTGCTTGGATGTCCATGCACATTATGACCACAGCAAATACCAGGAAAAACAAACCTGAGCTGAGTTTGTTTAACAGTAAAGGGGTAAGTCACCATTAGTGTGTGTGTGCTTGCTTGCACAGGTCTGTGTGTGTGTGTGTGTGTGTGTGTGTGTGTGTGTGTGTGTGTGTGTGTGTGTGTGTGTGTGTGTGTGTGTGTGTGTGTGTGTGTGTGTGTGCGTGTGTGCATGCGTGTGCGTGTGTGCGTGTGTGTGTGTGTAAATGACAGAAATGCCTTTCTCTTTAATCAATCAGGCGATCATGGGTGCACCTTTGTTTGCGCTGTGCTCCTGTTGCTTTAACACAAACAAATGAAGCCAGCCACTCCTTACTGCTAGTCAGAATGTGGAAATTAAGAAATTAGTAACACATAGTAACACATTCTTTAGATTTTTTAAAAACTTCTCTTGAATTAATTAATGACTTTACTTCCAACCATGAATTAAAATTAGATAATAAAACAAAAACAAAAGTAACAGTATCTGAAAAGGAGTAGGAAGAAGTCAAATTATATATATTTCTTCTATTCTTATATATCCCTACCCCTATGTCACATTTCTTCTATTAGTTTAAAAATGATTCCAACAATTATTCTTAAACTGTAAGTCTCTCTGTAGTTAGGTAAAAAAAAAAAGCAATTGAAGTCCATTACAGAAACATGTAGAGCAAGAAAGTGTTGAAAGAAACTTTAAAGGTTACAGTACAGAGTCCATCTCAGAGTTTATTATGGTGGATGTTGACAAGTTCTGTAAATGGCATGTTGGAAGGCATCTGGGTTAGGCTTCACCCGATGGCTTCCAACATGCATTGTGAGTGTTTTGACAGATAAGTTCAGCTCTTCTATACGTCCCACCGCAGACACACATACACGCACGCACACACACCTCTTTTATTTCTCTTAAGAGCTGCTCTGAGGCTATCACCGTGGTGATATATTACCCCACATATTGTTTACCTTTGCGACCATAGAGACTGCAGACATGGGTTTTATACGCTCAATTTCAGGCCTCAGGTGGTTATCCTCATCACCGCGGTTACACTAGGGAAAAAAAGAGTGAGGTCCAGGACACAGGATGGACAGTCAGAGAACACTGAGAAAAATGTATGACTAAAGGTTAATGACTTCGGCAATAGTCCAACAAGAGTGATACTTAAGACATCCATTACCCTGTTCCTTTATATCATGCTTGAGAGGTTAAGTGGTCATAAACATATGAATAAGGGAAATAATGTAAAAGTTGAATATTGATAGTAAAAATCTTAACCTTTAACACTTTACAATTTCTAAAAATACTTTTAACACTTCAGGTCTCTGCCTTCTTTCTATTACCAATACTCAAACATTATGTGTAGGCTATATCTTGCATTAATGTAACAATTAATTTCATACAATCATATTTATTTTGATGTTGATTTATGAGTGGACAGGAAGGTGATCGTTTCACTTTTGTTACTTGTAGTCTTTTATTTCAAAACCAACCTTGTGGTGATTAGGATTATTTCACCGGTAAGAAGGCACAGGGGAAAGTTTTTTAGATGTGTTTTTTGTAGTCCATTTTTGGAACACTGTAGTTTCAC